GTATCCAAAAATGTTCCTTAGTAAACTTGGAATATTATCATCCCAATACTAACCGCCGAAGGATATCATATCACCGCACTCAATTTATGAAACTCAAGAATGTGTTAAGACATTGCGTGCGCGACACGCGGTAAACCAAGGAACCGTTGTTTTCGTAGGCGGCTCTAGAACACACAGACTGACATCTCTTGAATAAACGCCAGCAGCTATCAAGGTATATAGCCAATTTACTACGCACTGGAATAGTTTGCAGCGATCCCTGATGATTAGTGAACTATTTGGTGAATCAGCCGCAGACTGCAACCTCAATACTTTTAACCCCATTGATTTTAGCCCACTTACCATAGGTCCTTGTACTGAAATGGGTTCGCTGTCGAAAGCGTAAAACCATTGGCAGATATGGCGACAGATGGGCCCAACCCAATATTCACAGGAAATAGTGGCGACGATGTGCCTCTGTTCTTGCTTAAGACATTAAGACTACTGATGGAAAGTGGAGTGGAAAACCGCCATTTTAGTTCCTCGCTGCAAGTTCGGTGACAAGGAGAATGCTGTCAAATGCGGACACATCAGTACAGCGCCAGTCGCCTCCCGAGTTATGGAAAAAGTGATTAAGGGAAGCATCTTAGATTGCTTACCTAGAGAAAACCTCAATACAAAGTCTGGGCGCGGTTTTAATAAAAATAGGTCTTGCGTTACTTGCCATTTCGACTTCTTCAACTGTATCACCAGCTGCCGTGAGGTGCGTAAAATCGCCATTGTTCCATACTTCGATGCGTCGGAATCATTTGACAGGGTATCGTCGCGAAGACAATGCTTCCACTCGTGAGGCTTATACATTTTTGCATACTTATCATGCCACGATGCTTCATCAAATAAACATTCAGTACTTACATAAATAAATAGGTAGGCATTTTATTCTCAAATTGAGAGCTTAAGATGAGAGAAGCCGGTTTATGGGCATTATCAATTTCACAATGGTGAAGAAATCTTCGTCAGTCGAGCCGTGCAGCATGATACGGAAAGGAGGACGTTGAAGTCTGTCGTAGCACTAAAAGTGTCTGTAGGTTATGAAGAGAACTGAAAAATATCATTGTATCGTAAATGCAGATTGTTTATGAGATTCGGTCGTTTCCATTCATCATTCTTTTTCCACAGCGAAGTGGCACCAAAGTCGTGCAATATTCAACCGTTGCGTTACACTTGACCGGGATGCCTAACCCGTCGGCGCAGTCCCGTGTTTCGTAAGATAAATATCCATTTTAACGCCACATGGTCGTGGTATCATTGGCCAACAACATCACTCCATCGATTTCTGATAACAGAGCGTTAACATGACCGTCCAATCCACGTGGATGTCCAAGTCCACGCATTTCCCACCCATCGTGTTACCTTACACAGCAGTGTAGATGTAAGCCATCAGAGTTAGTCGTTGCGGTATAAAGAAATAAACGTGTGAAGGACTATTACCTAATGGTAGTGGAGTTTTGGACATAGGATTCTGATTGAAGTATGCAGCACTATCAAGGAGGTATGCTGACTGTTAATCGTCTCCTGTCGGACGGAGTCAAACAAGATAAAGCGCTGGATAAGTTTGTCTCGTGGGTTTGTTAGCAAATATGTTGCATTAAGAGTCGACAGATGAGTTTATTTCCTAGATTTGGATGCTTGTCCGGATTTTCGCCGCCCCTGTGACCATCCAGAGGCCTTAGACCAGCTTTCGCATATGGCAGCATCTAAGATGTTGGTAACAAAGTGATTTTACTGTGGAAAGTTTCAGATAATTGGAAATCATTGGGGGAGAGCCAGTTCAGTAATTCTTTCACTGAATTCTGACATCACGTACGAAGTAGTACGTTCAGTAAGTTGATATTTTTGGGGAAAATTATGCTAAAGATATTCTCTTGAAGCTTAAGCTGAAAAGAGGAGGAAATAAGAAAGCACGAGGAGAAACCGGAGGGTGATGTGCCGCGCGAGGCAAACGGGGGAGAGAAAAGTTCCTCCCTTCTTTCGGTCACTCGAGCTATATGCACGCCTTAATTTGAGCACATAAAAATGACTCTTATGATTTTTTACGTAAAGTTCGATCAAGTTTTATTTGTAGAAGCACGGAGAAAACTGAATCTACATCAAGTTGATATGTGTTTTTTGATGTGTACTTTACTGACCACGCAACATAAGCTAGGGTAATGGTAATCAGCCGCCCCGCACGAAAATGTTTGAGTCCACTGAGGTAAAAAGGTACCTGAGATTTATGATAACCTTACTTCACACGTTTAGAGGTCCTATTATGCTCTCACTGGCCTAGAACACACAGCTGGTGCCTATGCGAGTGAAAGACTCATTGTCTGTTGGAACCTTATGGAGTGGGTAACAAAGGACAGATAAAGAACCTGCAGTACGTATCTCCTCAAAAAGTCAGTTCCAGATGTGAGAGAACTTATTGAAGGAGAGACTAATTTGCGCACCGCTCTCAAAACACCCAGTTTTAGCTAATAGGTTGTGATTACGTATATTGTGAGTGGATGTTACAACTGTTTTAATTTACGGGCCACGTGAGTGCACTTGCTTGCGAAGTAATTTATGGTAAAATATAATATTCATTCTAAGTCGCCTCTTCCAGAGAGGTTCTAGTCCTAGCATTTTGCATCTCGAGATGTAGTCTAGGCTGCAGTCAGCTCCTAGTGTTCTCAGTGTAAAGTGGCGCTGTACCCCGTTCAACTTTTCGTTCGTCACCTATACGAAGGCCACTCAGAATAATCGAGCAGCATTCTAGAACTGGACGGATGCTCACTTTGTAGAATAGGACCCTTGATTCCATGCTATAAAAGTTACGGACGATGCATCTTAGGAGTCAGAATTGTTTGGGACTGAGATCACCTGCCACGAGTATGAATGTAATTTTGGCAGTAGCTTATTCATACCCGTAAAAATGGTGTGCCTCCGTACATCCGGAGACAAATGTTACTACTGTCATTTACTTACCACATCTAATCCCGATCGAGCAGAATGATTTCCTGCATTTAACTAGTCAAACGATGTGGTACTTATGTTTCGACCACAGTGAAACTCATCAGCGCGGTGTGCTGGCGTGATTGGTGAGTTTCTGCCGCACTCAAATATGTGATCACCCAGTTTTTCGAGGCCAACCCATGTCACGTTTATGGTTAATACCAAAAGTTTGGAGACCGTGACGTTAGCCACGTTAAAGAATACCTGCACGCAAACCAAGCACTCATTGATGCTCACCAAGATTTCTGAAAGTGTAGGTCCTGCGCCCCCAGCCTCCTCTCAGCCCATAGCCGCTGGACAACATGCCGGTACCTGAAGGTTCCAGGCCACGCGATTCCTCTGGATTTCACTAGAGCCTCTGTCACAGTTCCACAAACAATCGTACCTCACAAATTGTCTGGTTCGGGTGCCTGCAACCAGGTGCTTTCGCGGTTGGAGATCTACACAGGGAGTAAGAAGTTCTGTAGGGAAGTCGGTAAGGTCCATTCAGCTTGAAGAACATCACCAACCGGTGTGTCACAAGGAGCAATTCTGAGTCCGTTGTTGTTCCTGCCGTTAGTAAATGGCCTCCCGCCGCATATCAGCTCTCCACTTCTCCTTTACACTGACGACTTCAGGTTATGGAGATCAGTAACGTGCGAAGCGGAATTAGATGCAATACAGGACGACCTCGAGGCACTCGAGGGGCGGGCAAAAAATAGCGAACGGGTATTTAACCTGAATAAACGCCAGTCCATGTTTTTCCACACTCTGATTTACGGGAAGTATCCTTCTCTCTCCTTGGCTCACGTCTTTCTTTTATGGCAGAGGAGAAAGACGGTGGTGACGGGGAGACCGGACACCAGCACCAATTGCCCTGGAGGTGTCTCGAAAGCATATGCTGTGATACACTCTGTGCGTAGACAACTAATTGCCTCCATCGCAGGGCTCTTCTGGGGGATCGACATGATCCTGTTGGAGGTTCATGGCGTCTTCGCTCCACCACACCTGAAGAAAGGCACCAACCTCCTGGAGAAAGTCCAGAGGTGGGCCGCAAAGGGTATTGTAGGGATGCTGCAAAGCCAAATGAAGATAAACCGAAAGACCTAGGCCTATAATCTCCTAGTTATCGAGGGTTACGAGATGATATGATAATGGCCGGCAAAACGTTTGACAAATCAGGTCACTCAAACATTGGAGTACTGCCAAGTGGTCACGGTTAGGATCCTCATGGAAACCCCAAGAGAAGCTGCCCACTAAACGGCAAAGATCATGCGCTTTCGCATTTCCCTCTTCGAGTCTTCGGGCACTGAAGTGCATTGCTAGTAGATGTAGCCCCAGCCTCCTCTGTGGGTAGTTTCAAGAAAAGGTTGGAAAGTTAGGCAGTGACCTACGGTTCCCACTGATCTAGTCAGAACACGAGGTAAGCCGAAGAAACCAACTGCTGTCACACCATTCCACCACTGCTATATATACACCAGCCTTTTTCCTGCCCTAGCCAAGCACATCCATTTCAATCACCACACGCTATGGATTAGACTCACTCACACAAGTTCTGCATACCTTTGGACTCCTTCCTTCTTACCTGGGCGTAAGCAGATTAATTCGTCATCCTACTTTTCTTCTTCTTGTACTCATACACATTTGTCTTCTTGGATTTTCGCCTTACGATCCCCAAATCTCTCCCACCACCTGTTTGAACAGCTGTCTAGTATACTGACACCTTAAGAATTCAACTGCATTGCAGTCCCAGGAAAACTAATCAACACCCAACCACATGCTGGGTAGACCAGAACTATGGCAGACGAGCAGCTGGATCTACCGCATCAGAATCCATCAAGGACCTGTAACCATTCCGCAAGACTAAGAAGAGAGCATAAGGTCTTCTACAAGTTTGTACAAGCTTGATAAACAGACATTAGATATTGGAAGGTGATTTGTTTAAGTGCATGAATTCTTTTAGCTTGTTTCGATGCTCGCTTTTGTTCTAGCGTCTTGTACTCCGCATAATGGAAACTGAAAGGAGCGACAGATTGTTATTGGAAAAGGCTAAAAAGCAACTAACGAAAGATCTCAGGCCTATTGAAAAGCTTAGATATCAATGTCTTTCTCGTGGTGCTTCAGGTATTGCTGGTATTGGACGGTGGGTTAAAAAATTATTTCTTTTTACCAATCAAATGTACCTTAAAATAGACAGTTTCGCATCATTGACGATGATGGAAATAAAAAGCTTGACTTCAAGGAATTTTCGAAGGGTTGTAAAGATTTTGGAGTAGATTTATCAAGAGAAGAAATAAAGGAAATTTTCGATGAAATTGACACCGACCAAAGCGGATTCATCGATTTTGATGAGTTTTGATATCTCTTAGGGTAGTGTCAGTTTTTTGTACCAACTTTAAGCCCCCAATGAGTAAGTCCAGGACAGATATTTTGAACAAGGCCTTTTTGAAGCTGGATAAAACGAAAGATGGCGTGATAACTGTAGGTTTTGTTATTCAATAATATTTTTTATCGTATTACTAACCAACGTTTTTATATTAAGATAGGTTAGTTTTTCAAGTCCAAACAGCCTTGGCACTTGACAGCCGTCTCACTTTATGAAGCTAAACTATGAAGTAATGTTTCCGAATTAGTGAAGCATACCACGTGGGAAAGTTTGAAATTAAAGCTGTTGACAAATAAATATCAACAAAGACAACAAGTTGCTTATTTGTGAGTGAGGCGTTTAGTACACGAACCTATGAGAAACAGAATATTTGAAACAACAACTAATTTAACGTTTCTACCTGCAAATGTAAACAGGCTAGGCAGGGTCGCTTCCAAATGATCGGTATTTTACAAATCAGTCAGCGTCTACGAGGAGCTCCTAAATTTGACCATCATATGCCTGTAACTAAAGACTGATTTAATTCGTTTTGCTCAACATTCAATGGTGCAAAAACGTCAACGCAAAGCAAAGGTGTCCTAGATTTTACCATTGGATAAATTATATCTAATTTTCAGTCTTGTAGATTTACAAAGATCGCTATTGCATTACCTTACTTACTGCCGACACTTGTAGTTACATTTAAGCTTATGAAAGCAATTTGATATGGTTTTAGGTTTCAACTCATTTTTGATATAGCTCCGATCAAAACAAGCACACTAACTCTTAGACAGTGTTTTAATCCACTTTTTAATTTTTTATATTTATTGTTAGTTATTGCTCAAACGTTGTCACCTTTGATATGCTCTGAAATTAGAAAACAAATGGAGCGGTATGAAATTTCAAACTGAATGACACTTTTCTATATTTCTTTCCGAGACCTAGCTGAAGTATTGAACTAACTGGCATACATTTGTTTCATTTGATCCTACTAAAGCTCATAAGATTTAGTAAACAATGCTATGAAGTTTTATAAAGATGGCTTGAACTAAAGTTAATGTCTAAAATAAAGCCAATGGTCAAATTCTAGAGGGGCTATTGATTTGAGTGTTGCATATTCTTTAAAATATGGATTGAGTCAATTTTCAACCTCAAGTTTACGCCTTACTGATTTTGAACGATACATGAATCAGTAGATGTTAAGAGACTTCTGTTATTACTTTCAATAATAGAAAAACAACACTCAGTTTAGGCCTTTCAAATAGTCTTACTTTGAATGATGGTAGGGGGTTGTAACCAGACGCTAAAGTCAATGTAGAACCTTGCACAGAAGTTCATTTGTTCCAGTTACCACACTCCACAGTTGTATATAAAGAACAAGTGGATACAAAAAGAGTGATATTAAGGCAGACAAAGTTGACGAAGGTGTACAACCTTGTTGGTTAACTTGATTGCCTTGCCTAGTACTCACAGCTTGACCTCAAAATTGATCACATGATGATTCTACCATACATGAGCAATGCTACGAAGACTCTGGCGATCAAAACCTGTAACCGCTTCATATTTTCCACTTTCTGTAGCAAAGTTGACACGTCGTCTTTGAGTTAGGGTTTCCGAATCTCCGTATCCCAATTGTAAACTTTCTGGAAAGCGTCAGCAATTTGCTTAGCAACTGTATGGAACGAAATGTAAATAAGTATATGGGTTGTCCTTTGGTTAAACGTTGTATTTTAAGAGACACATTAGGTTCCATGTATGTTCTGTGTTCTAAATATAAAAACCGCGTCACAAGACGTTTAGAATGAGTGTCCATATGGACATATCTAACTGTGTAAAAAATATATGAGTTTATTGCACAAGGAGATTTGTAAAGGTCACTACTGATCTACTCTGACGCTGTAGTTGTGTTGTTTTCATATCTTACTCACGCATCTGTTCTGCCAAATGGATATCTTTTGATTGCCTTCTAAACTCACTACTTTTACACAAGGCAGTGATTATGAATAATGCACTTATTTGCCAAAGCTGGTTGCTTTTCAAGGAAAAATACTAAAATTATTGAAATTCACTTCCAGTTGCCGAAGGATAATATTTGCTATTTGAGGTAAAATTGGTAGTGATGAGCTTGGTATCCTGACGTATGTTATTCGGATGCTCGTGAATCGAAAAGAGTATTTTCATGCCCTGCCTGGCTTTTCAGTATGTATGTCGCATTTCTGTTCAATGAGGATGTTGACCAAGTGCTGCATCTTCTGAGCACCGAGCAGAATCGCAGTATTTTTCGCATATGTTTTGTACTTGCCAGATATTTGATAATACTTAGGAACTAATGGGCGCCGACTACTATGTTAGGAGTGGATGTGGAGTTTTAGGATATGTTAACCTTTTCATCCACCTTGGGATATACTTATGCTCTAAAGGACTATTTGCTGATATTTCTTCATTTCATACACAAAATTCCTGTTCAGTATTTTCAAACTTGTACCATCTCTGGTCTCTTCGAAGTATTCTACTGCAAACCAGAGAATGTAAGAATTGCACAGTTGTTCACTCTTTTCTGACGTATAAGTGAGATATGTCAACTGAAAGTAGAAGAGATGAAAGAGTCCTAGACTTTTGACTACGTGCGCCTTCGTAACATTGTTTGCCTATTTTCAAATCACAATGTAGTCAATACTGAGGTTAAAGTGAGGTACTGAGCAAACAAGGTAAGTAGGTCAATAGATTTACTGACCTGTGGAAACCTTTTTGGCTTGAAAGTGTTGTATGTGTCAAGTTATCAGCCTTCTGACGTCACCATCCCAGCCAAAATAATTTTAAAAAAGTTTAACGCGATTAAATCAAGATATGATCTTTGGTCTGAAAAATTTAAGGAGATGCAACTTATCTGACTGACGCCTCTGAGGTAATATGAGCCTATATTTGGAAACTTTTGGCAATAATCAGTTCTTCTTTGACCCGCGCCTTCTGCTCCTGTTTGACTTTGTCTAGTTTACTGTCATTTTTATTTTATCCATTTCTTTCTTACATACTGTTGTGAAGTGCGGCAACTTGAAATGATGCACTTCTCTCTGCTCTTCTCTTTGACTGTGCTTGTATTTCTAGTGCGTTTGGTTTATTTTCTTTGTGTTTGCTTTGATGCGTTCAAGAAACCAAAAAGGTTGTAACTTAACTTATAGTACTTGTCTAACCGATATTGATTCATGTTAGAAATGACTCAGGCTTTTTCAAAACGAAGAGTCAGTTTTTGAGTAAGATACGACCCCAGTTTCTGATTTCTGTTTCCAAATTGCTGTGTAGTCTTTCAGGTGAAGTTTCAGAAGTGGAAAGGAGTGATTGAACAAATCAGATCATAATCTCAACGAGAAAATAAGCATATCAAACAATTTACAACTCCATGCTAGACCGTAGAATTTTAAATTATGCCTCTCTTGTGTCAATTATTCATGTACTACATATTAGTATTTACTACTGACTACATTATTAGTTTACTACCCGAGATTTCCACTAAACACTTTTGGTTACGAAGGAAAGTGACATCAGTTTATTGTTAGAAAAGTGTTTTCTGTTTCAGATTGCAGATTTGAAAGGTGTTTATAATGTCAAACATCATCCCAAGTATATTAATGGGGAGAAAACAGAGGATGAAATATTGGTCGAATTTCTGAAAACATTCCAACCTCAAAACAATGCTGATGATACTGTGAGTCATTTAGTAGAGTAGAAATTTACTCATTTGATATAATAACTACACAAATGACAAGGTTTAGTCGTCGTTGAAAACTTCTACTTTTTTTACCACAGGTGCTTAGTCATTTTAACCTTAAATATTTCTTTCAACTGAGTTCTGATTTACCACGTTAGAAAGTTTTTGCTTCTGTTTTTATCTTGTTCATTTCGCATTGTGGATGTGCTCTGAACTAATCATTTCATCCTACAAATGGTTAAGCTGCTATGATATTACCTACTGACTCCAGAATTTCTTCATACATATCTTTTTTCCAAGGCAACCGGTTATTTATATCGTTAAGTAGGTAAGCATGTGAGCGATGTTCTTGGGAAAATCCCTCCTATATCTGAGATACTGGCATTAAAAACTCATGTTTTTCAGAATGGAACTATAGTTCAGCTTTCTGAGAGCTTCATTACATTACATAACATTAACCTTTACATGTGTACACTAGATGTCTTGGTAAACAGCAAAACAGAATGCGATATGATTCAGGTCCAAGCACATGATATGGTACGATGCACTACTTATAGAAGAATACACTAGAACAAATTTCAGAATGTCAGCCCCAGTCACTAGTAAGTTAGAAGTCAAGCAAAACAGGTGGAAGTTGAACGCGTTTAATTACAGCTCCAAAGTGATGATGAGGTCAGGAATTCATGTCTTTGTGGGGGTGCTTGATGTGTCACTATTACGTAACGCCCAACTAACTCTACCTAACTCGATGCGCTCTAGTACCTTACTTGTGAGTACTGATAGCGGAACACAAATCTAAAGGACGGGTATTCAGGAATGCATTCAAAGGGGTAACATATTTAAATAGAATAAACGTGATAGTGATTATAAGAGGGAGAGTTTATCCAACTTATCTGGCTAGTATGGCTGAACTAGGGACTCTGAGGATGTGCGTGTCAACCAGCACAAGTGGAGGGTGAGATGGCATCGGAGCCTGCTCAGATGCATGCTTGTTAAAACAAGACTTAAAACTTCGCGAGCATTCGGAGGCAAGGTAGAAGTTTATTTAGTTAGTTCAATTTAATCTACTTATTTTAGCCCTAGTTGTATTTTGGTGCCAGGAAGGTGCACATATTTATTTAAAGTTTTCTTGGGTGACCTTGTATTTCGGCCAATCAATAAACGCGTTTAAGCAGCCGCATCTCGGTTTTCACGAATCTTCAAATCTTCTTAAACAGCGTGATTAAAAAAATATCTTTTCAGCAATATTGAGTCAAACATTTTTGAAATAGTTATATTTTCACAACAGAATAAGTGACCAAACTGGCTACCGTAACTTCCAGCTTGATATTATTAACTAAATGCTAACTAACTGGCTGCTTGGTAGGCTTATTGCCCAAAACATATGAGTGATTTATTGTGTATAAAGTCTAAAATAATTTCCAAGTGTTGTTGTTGGTTAAAAAAATTACATATAGCAGTCAGTTTTATAGTTAAAGCGTAATTACATCTGTCTACATTTTTATTGCGACAGGGGACGATAAATGTGGTCACATTGGAATATATACAGACAAAAAGAATGCTGAACTGGACCTCCCACTACTTGGAAGCTTTTTAGCTAACCAGTAATCTGAATATCCAGCAACCATCCTACTCTCTGTCTTTAGGTAGTATGATAAATTCATCTGCTTTTCATGATCATAACAATGTATAAAAGTATTGTAAAGCGAGTAGTTGTTTTAGAATTGCTTTTATGCTATAATACGGAAAAAAGGTGATATCATTCACTTGAAAGTGATCAAGACTTTCATATCTTGACAGTGAGAACTTTATCTATTTTAAGGTGTTTTAACTATGGTTTAGTCTGATACGGCGGTTGACAGTCCTTTCGAAGGTAAATTAACATGAAAATATTATTCAGTGGCATTGCTGTACATCATTGGTTTAATCAGTCCACCGATTGATCCCAAGTGAGATTTTGACAAACGGTGATCAGCGCGTATTTCACCTGTGCAATCTAGTAACACCATAAACATTCTTTCCTCTGGTTAAGACAGGCAAAACAATGTAGAATCACTGATAAAAGTAAAGCAATTTAGTTGGTTGGCGATGGCAGAAACTGGATCAAAACCAATAGAGGCAAAAAGATATTAGAATTACAACAACAAAAGAGAAAAAGAAGAACTTGTGATGAGAAAAGACAATTTACACCACTCACTGTGAGGCAGGCAGGATGAAACTCAGATCCTGGATTCCGCTGATTGCTACCATTCATCATTAATATCTAAATTATTTAACTGTTTGGAACTTCGAAGATGATAAAATATGAGTGTATCTACGCTATTGTGATCCATCTTTATCCATGTAACAAGACGTCCCCCTAACGTGTCAAGAACTCTAAACAGGCAGTCATGTATTTACACTGGGTGATGATTGAAGGCGAAATGAAAATTTGGACTGCCGCTGTATTTAACTAGCAACCGCCGGGTTTCTGGACCTCGTAGCTCAGTTGGTAGAGCATCAGGCTGGGAACCCAGTGGTCTCTGGTTCGAATCCGGCAGCAGTCCATATTTTCATTTCACCTTCAATCATCACCCAGTATAAATACTAGTCTGCAAACCACAACTGTCTCTGATAGTCAACCGATAGTCATGTATTTCACGCATTAATATCAACTTGATAACCACCAGCTTTCTTGGTAAGCGTTGCTTTTCTTGAAAGTAATGACGTTCTTACTGAGTGCCATATATTCTCTTTTCTTATTATCTTACGAAAGGAAGCAACTTTTCGAAAATAAGTTAATCAAATTTCGTTAAAGTTCAGTTATTTGTTACGGACTGGAATCGTCCGCACAAAGATAGGTTGTAGAAAATGGTGAAAATCAATAAAATGCCTTCTATGCTGAGTGTTAATATCCCCTCAGAAGTATTCAAAAGTATTTTTTGTGTACTGTTCTGATCATGTTAACATTTTACACATTTATTACCAATTATTACTTAGTTGTATAAAATGTTGCAGCTTACATGCTTCTAATAAACAGGAAATTTCATGTAGGGTATGTTTACAGGCACTGTGATATGATTTGGCCACCAAAATTCAGATAACCTACCACTATGAATGTTATTCTATACAAATTTTACGTGTCTATGTGTGATCATTTTCATCGTTCACAAGTTGCAGGTCTTATACTTCTATTTTATATAGGATAGGAAAAAATGACATGCAACAGGATACTCTCAACAGTAGTAAACATTTTCAGCTAGATTCAGGTTGGAGCTTTAAAATTCGTGAAAGACAATTTCCCATCGATTTATGTACTTTTAAAACGGCAAAAGTCTACATTTAAAATTTTCTTTTTTTTTCTTTGCTGTTTAAAACTAACAACACTTTCACACTTACACTTTCATCAAGGTACATAAAACTAAACATCATGTAAGCTCAATGTACACCAAATTAACTAATGTACTTGAGTTCATTCATACCATACATCCTATGAGGCTGAAAAAGTCTGAAAGTGATGATGCCTCCAACTGGTTGATATGTGTCAATAAGATAGCCTTAGTCGTGCTGAAAAGATCTAACACTAGGTGGTAGTTGGGAATTGGTATGAATTTCTGGTAACCTTTGAGGGAATTTATCACTTCTTAGAGATTCAAATCCATTTTACCCAATGCTTCAGTCCTAGATGCTACCATTAAGTTATTCGAGATGTGGTTGGTCATCTGTAGGATTGCATTGTATGTATTACTGGGTCACTTGAGAGTAAGGTTTAGTTCTGGGTACTCAACAAATCCTGTCAACTGCTTTACATTGTGATCATTAAGCTAAAAAATATACGATGGAAGTGTTTTGTGATGGTTAATAATTCGGAAGTCAGTCATGGGTAAGGCACGATTACAGTCTTTAAGATAACAATACTGTATGGAAGGTGTGAATTCTTATCTATATGGGCTACATGCAAAGAGATATTTTACAGAGGGTTTGTAGGATGTTTCCGGTGAATATACTTTGCCTTGTAATGCGGTTTTTTTGCGGTTGTCAAACAAGTTAGTTGACCGAGATCATTTGACAGCGATAAAATCTGTCTGAGTGTTGATGATATTAACAGATTATTGGTGAAGCCACTGGTAAGGTCACCTTTTCAGATACTTGCAGCAGCTTGGGTCTTGTTGAAGTTGTAAACAAGCCTTACTGATGAGTGTCAAACAGAACGAAAACTGGGTTAGGTATGCCTCCTCCTCCTCGCTGAATCAATCTTAATATCCAACAAGTTTATCTGTTTAATTTACTTGTCAACTTCTTACACTTAATCGTTCCAGTCCAATAATTCCACTTTGATCATTTATGTACAATAAGTAACACTACTATTAGCAAGTAACACGCGACGACTGTATTACAAATGAAATTTTTATTGTATATGCGCTTTTTGGTGTTGAATAAACAAGCACTACTTTCAAATATTTTAGGTAACTAAAGAAGAATTCTTCAATTATTACACTGGTGTCAGTGCATCAGTTGACAATGATGCCTATTTTGACCTGATGATACGACAGGCGTATAAAATCTAAGCTCAGTGAATGAATTACTCAACTATATATCTAAATATGTATGCATTGTGTACGGCTTGTTTGAGAACGTGTTTTGCGGGTGATATAAATTGTGTCTATTTTACTTAGTTTGTTGTGTGTTAGTTGTGGATTGGTGCATGCATATACGGCTCTTTTATAGATTCCTACAGATCCAGATTGTGTTCTGTTTGCTTTGATACTTTATCGTGGACGTTTCGTCAACAGACTGGAAGACATAATCATTACTAACTTTATAAAGGTTGTCTAGTTAGTTTTTGAATTAAAGGTTAATAGAGTTATTGTAGATGACGTCACCAAGACTGTTGATGAAAAGCAGTAGATTTGGAGGCTTGTGGAGATTTATTTGTTGATTTCAGGTCGGTATTCATCCTGGACTGACTTCAGTTGGGGAAAACTTGGAAACCTGAGAGCACGGGAAAGCTGTTTCGTCCTAGTGTGGGACTCCTCGACAGTGCGCACCCGCAACCCTTTCAGGGATCGAACTCAGGTTCCATGACCAATACGTTACCACTGAGTCACTGGGTCAGAATCCAATGATCCACATTTCCAACTTCTGTCAGTTCACAATATAGCACGACCGCCATCCAATGCCGTCACTGTGTCCCAGGGACTAACCACTTCAAACATGAGGAGAGGTAATTAATGACGACATTGTATAGAGGTCACACTATATCGTGAACTGACAGAAGTAGAAAATATGGACCATTTGATTCCAACCCCTTGGCTCAATAGTAACATGTTGGCTACGGAACCTGAAGGTCCTGAGTTCGATGAATGGCTGGTTATGAGTGCGCACTGCCAATGAGTCCCATACTAGAACGAAACAGTTGTCCAGTGCTCTCAGGTTTCCAGTGTTTCTCAAACTCATGTCAGTCTATGATAAATACAGACTTGAAAAACAATCTAGACAAGATGTCAAAACCCAGGGAACTCTAAACCATCATCTTCATACTGAGCTGAATATATTTTTTGTTTTAATATGAGTTCTTTTTTTAACTCTTCAACTCTTTTGGAATCCATAAAAAGAAACCATCAAGGTACATAAAGCTTGGCATCATGTAAGTGGAGTGTACACCCAGTTAAGTGATGCACTTGAGTTCATTCGTACCATGAATTGCTGACTTTTGAACATAGGTTACGATATCGGATAATGATAGTACATGCTGTATTGTTTATTGACGAAATGACAAAGATAATTCTTCTTTCCGTTAGATTTCTATCTCCGATGAATGCATAATATCCAACGTGGTTAACTAAAGGGGTCTGTACGTTTCGTACTAATAATTAAGAGGAATTCTAGTTAGAGTTTTCTCGCGTAGAGTAAATTATGTTACCGTATAATTTTTCTCACCGATGTGGTATTCTTTAATGATAATAAACATAGGTCACTTTAGATCAGGCTAATTACTAACTGGTTTGTTGGTATCGGATAGCAACCATAATTACCTGATGAATTTGAATTCATATTGTGAGGATAGGTGAAGGGAAAGCTAAAAGAATCAGGTGACGTACCATATAACTTTCAGACTGGACTTTTCGGTAAATCTTTCATCCTTCGGGGAAACTTAAATTGATTCAGGAAAGTGGAATAACGCAAATCATTTTCAGTGCATACATAATGATCATTAACATAATAATCCTAAGATTTTGGGGATTAGATTTTACTGGGGAATGATTTTCGAAGCTATTTTCATGCTGAATAGACTTGTAGATTTAGTTCAGTTGGTCTAATTCAGAGTACAGTATGCCATATCACTGAAGAGTAGTACAATGGTGACAAATTACTCACTGATGAACATTTGAAATACAGATCTAAACACAGTATGCAGAAAATAAAAATGAAAACAATGGTTGGTAGATAAGCCTACTGTTCAATATTTAATGACAAGAAGTGTAAATACACATAGCCTAGGTTTTGAATATATCATCATCTGCCTGTAACAAATAATTTGTCGTAATTCAGAAGACCTCAAGAATAATTTATTTACATATATAGCTTCATTCGGCTTCAGAATGATTATTTTATGTAGTGATAAGGTTAATAGTATTGCTAGTGTCAGTTTATGTCTACGAGTGCAATAGTCGAATGCAATTTCTTCTATATATATATATATATATATGCTTTTCCTTCATTTTGTACTTTTTGCATTGTTATTATTAGAAATGCTTAGATTTCGCTTTTAAAGTATAAATGCACGCTTTCACTTGATTATTTTGGCCACATGAGTCTTATTGCGCTTGCATGTATATATATATATATATATATATATATATATATATATATATATATATATATATCATTTACGATCAATCAGTAAACTACTGATTTATAGACATTTTCAAGCACGTATTGACGCATATGCTTTGCCTACAAAATTTTAAATTGGAGTGAATATCTTGTTGTTGTTGGTTTTTGATAAAATGAATACTCGTAACTTGTTCTATCTACACTATTTCCAACTTTATTTTATTTTTATTTCCAAGTTTATTTATTATTTTTTTAGGTTACTAAAGACGAATTTTTAAATTATTATTCAGGGATCAGTGCAGCTATTGATAATGATGCTTATTTCGATTTGATGATTCGGTGTACTTATAAATTATAGCAGCTCTCACTATTATTGTCATTATTATTACTACAGAAAAAAGACGAAACCAATGACTTGACCAAACAAAAAGTTTTTTACATGCAGATAAGGAGTAAAAGAAGCTATTGTATGTATGTTTCACAAACTGGTTTAGAAAACTTCAGGTTCTTCTTTACCTCTTTTGTATTTTCTGCAAATTTTTCGTGTTGTATTAATTTGATGTTTTCCAATTTTATTTAATAACATTTATAGTATTAAAACGGAAATGAACTCCATCTATATGTGTGTACAATTTTGCTTTATTTTTTTATGTGAGATGGTTCCAAATTTTTGCTACCTCTATTGCATGAATGTGGTTGTGTTCTTTCTCAAATCTGCACAATATCATGACTGTGATACAACTTTCTCGATATATTCATGTATTTACCTATTTTATAAACATAAAAGAGCTGTTTTCCAGAGAAAAGCCATGTTTTTTTACTTGGCATAATGCCTAAAAGCAGGATGTAAAAAAGGTCTGGACTTCAGGTGTGGTGATCAGCAAAGTAGTTAAAATAATAAATCGTATGTGTTACTTACTCGTATATCACTCATAGTTTTTGTCATAGTTGTTAGATTTTATCCATTTTGCAACGGGATATCTACACCAAACTTTTCATGAAACTTCGCTTTGTCTCCACGTGCTTGAAGGATCAAATATTGGTGTGAATAGTCTGAACAAAGGTTCACAACTGAGGTACAAATGTCATATATATATATATATATATATATATATATATATATATATATATATATATATATATATATATATATATATATGGTTTATTTTCTTGATACCAAATTTTAACTTCGTTTGAAATTACGATAACACCAGTTGTGGTCAGCTAGTGCTCAACGTTTTAAAAAAATTGTTTTATCAACGATTTAGTCATCTGTAGGTAGTCATTTATCATTGGTAGCTACGTCCAGCGGGTTTGTACATTTACACATTCAGAGTCCTTTCTTCTGCAGCATCCAGCCAGATAAGTTCTAAGTATTTGCATAAAATAACTCTTTAATTTCTGCTGCCAAGTATATGGCTCCTCTCAACTTAAAATGTCGTTTGAACGTGTTTTTTTAACCTTAGTGTACGAAATTTAGGTAGCTCAATGACCTGAGTCTTAGGTTTTAATTTTACGGCCTCTGTAGTTTTACTAACTGGTTTCTTATTTAAGTATTCTCTGACTGAATTTGAGTGATGAGTAGGCCATGTACTGCAACTGAGTGAAGCACTAAAAGCCTTGTGCATAGTCGTGCAGTAGGCAATGTGTGGGTGAGGGCTAGTGCTACTCCCTGGTAGCCCAAACCTCGGTGAGTGTGCAGGTCTCGAACACGTTGAAAGTCATCTCCCTAAACCAATGAGCACAATTCCACTGGATCATGTATTACCTATGCCTAGTTACCGCATGCATCGACGCACAATGTTAGCTGAAGTAGATTTAGGCTGGAAAATGCTCAATATGGCCAGACTAAAACTTGGTATTCCAGTATGAAATTTTCGACTGTTGATTTGAGCCATGTAGCAGAATACAGACTAGCCGCTGGAGTCCACATGACACCGGAAACCAGCGGTTGCAGATTCTAGGCGATATGATTCAGAATCCATGTCTGTGGCGCAGATGTATCCACTTATTATTTTTATCTAAACCGCTATACTGAATTCAGCTTTCTATGATTCTTCCTTCCTCTCTTTTATTGTTTCCGACTGATTTTTCTTTATTTTTTCATATTTTATCTTACTACTTAGTTACATTTACTGATAAGAGGCGTTTCAACATGGACTGCTGGTCCTATGTTGGTGCTGATCGATTATATGATTGGAACACTAACAAGTACAAAGGTTTTCTAACAACTCATGGATACCTTCAGTATTGATTTGCTGAGTCATTCTGCCTCATGACAACCAGATATTTTCAGTGTGAAAAATGTGGTATTTACTTTCATGTGAGTCTACCTATTATAATCCATGTTTTTCGTTTATAGAGTAATGATCAACCCTTTGAGTATTAATTAGAAAACAGATTTTTAAGCAAATATGTATTTTCGGTAAATTTTGTCATGCTTTACAATTACATTTACAAATTATTCAGCATACTCATTTGATACTAATATGATTAAATGAATTCAGGTATAAGAATTAGGAGATAATAACAACAAAAAAAGGAATTTAATCCGTACACTGATGTTTTGAACCAGTAAGATTTTCACAGCTGACACTGAAGGATGAAACAAGAAAAGTAGAGAACTCCTTATATGAGTATGACTATCGTGAAAAGTTCGTAAGGACTGTACCAATGAAAACAGGTTGAGCAAAGCTCGTTCAAATGGTGTCGAATGTATCTAACTTTAGCATTCAAAGATGCAGCAGCAGAAACAGTGACACTCAGAAATCTGATACAGAAAACCTTCTTTGCAGCCACACTATGTTGGAAATTTACTACGCACTGTTGAAGCCTATGCAGTTGAAGGACAAGCTTCCGAATCTGGCCACATTTATGTGCGTTTATAAAGTTAACTGCTCCTGTGAAGATAGTTACATAGGTAGGAAGAACAGGCAAGCCCATCATCGCTTCACTGAACACTTTCCAGCGTGGTTAGGCAAATTATCAGTGAAATCCATCATAACCTCAATACTCACCCATCTATTGATACTGAGGATAAGACTGACAAAACCTCAGTATTTACTTTCCTTTATTAAGTGCCATCACAATTCTCTAAGTTTATAAGCCTCCAACTGTTAAGCACGGCAGAAGCCACAGCAATTAAAAGCTTCAAACCTAACTTATGTATTCAGACGATATTCAGGGTAGAGACTTCTCAACGAATTTATTTTAGAGCTGTACATTCATATTATATGATGTGTTCGCACAAACCACCCAGTTTGTTTTCGTTTTCAACTCCTTAAAAAAGCGGAGGCTTTGGCTATTCATGAACTAAAACCTAATCTGCGTGTACAAAAGATGTATATACAGTTTCTGTTTTTACTACGGCCATAACATTTTCCCAACCTCATTAGTTTCCCCTTCCTTTGTTAATTTAACTTTTTTTATCACTATTATTGTTATTATAATTGCCTTCACTTAGTTTCTGGAGTTATTTCACTTAATTGTCTTCATCTTTTTAGAAAACACTGATTCCATCTTGACTAACTTGTCTATTCTTATTACATAATATTTAATTGATTTATGATTCTCATCAATTTTTTCATCCCTTTCTCAGTTACATACCTTCTATGAACTACTCCATATATTAAGCAAGCTAGTTTGCTATCATTCATACTTCAACTGTTATCATGATCACAAATAACTATATCATCATCCATTTTATTATTATTGTCATTGTCATCTAGTGTTTAGTTTTCTTCATGGGATATAATTTTTCAATATCATATACATTCTAATGTACAGCTTGAAAATAAATTCATTGAAAAGAGTTCTACGCTAAATATCTTGTTCTTGATATTAGAATGGGAGTTATCAAGTTATTCAGTTATTTGTTCCTCCTTTTTCTCCCCTATGGCCTTCAACTTCAACCTAGATACAACTGTAATAATTTCCTTCCCGGTCACTCGGGAAGGTTTATACTGTTTATACTCTTATCATTTTCACTTTATTTTTCCCCCTTGGTTTCATAATTGGGGAACTTTATTTCCCTCTATCCCTGCAGCCACACAATTCACTTACACACATACAGGGATTGACTAGTGAGAATATACATAAACTTTCCGAGATCAGCACTTTGTTATGTGACTGTATGTGCATACCCGTTTCAGGTGTGCAATCAACAAGACTCCTCTCATATTTCGGAAGTTAGATTTCTTGTAATGATGGATAGTGGCTAGCAGTGGAATCCAGGATGCGCATTTCGTCCTATTTGGGACTCAGCTGGATGTACCTGCCTCCCAGGGAGTGATGTTGTTCCCACCGGGACTCAAACTCAAAGCCGATCGCTTCGAACGCCACAGGGTTATCCACTAGATCATGGAGCCACAATAGCCACTTCTTTTGTTATTTCTTGCCCATATTTTTAGTAGCCTGCAGGATCCAATACACAAACTTCATTATATTCGCTTACAGAAGTGAACTCATTAGTCGCATCTAATATGTCATTGCACGCTTTAAGTCCAATTTTTATTGAAAAGAATAACATAAAAGTACTACTCATCAGATGCTTAGCATGAGTATTGCCTTAAGTGCAGTCAAAAATGATCATCATATGCGTTCATGACTGAAGAGATCTAGTCAAAATCTACCTGGTTCAGGAGTTCCCTATCAGTGTTTAGAGAATTACGCATCATTCATTATTCGGGTAGGTCGAGAGCCATAACAGAATGGTTTTTTATGTATCCACTTACTCTTCGCAATACATGTTGGTAGTATTCCAGGATTTTTCTTTCTCTGAAGGGGGAGTGAGACTTGTTTCAGCTCAGTCCCTGGATTTACCCAGAAGTGTGAACTAGTCTCTTCTAACACAAAATGGGTAACTGAGATATTTGTCAGGAATAGGCATCTCCGTAACTAGTTGGATAAAGCTTCTGCAGGGGATGAATTCAGCCACAGCATATCTTGACTTAGGGGTAATACAATTTTTTTGATTTATTTTGATAGTCTACTTCACTGGTTGACCACATCACACATTAGTATCTCGGTGGCCTTTTCAGCAAGTCTTTATACCAAAATACAGATCAAGACGGCACTGGAGGTAGTCGTAAATCAAATAAATATTAACTCAAAACTTACTGATGAATTCATATTACACATACTGTTGTGTTAGACATCTATGGTCTTCAAGTTTCTGGACAAAAAAGAGAAATAGAAGGAGTAGCAATGAAATCACCAATAACCCCAAGCATAGGAGATATATTTATAAATAGCTAGGAAAAACACGGCTTTGTGAACGCCTAATTCTATACCTAAGATATAAGGGTGATACACTGATGACGCACTTGTTTAGAAATTGGATCACAATGACAGTTCCTT